AATAAATAAATAAAAGAGGGCAGTGGGCAGAAGCAAGGGCAGGCATAGACCAGACTTTGTCTTGACCCTCCCTCTATTCACAGAACATAGCTCTGGTGTTCACACACTCATCTGCCCACCGCCACCCCAGCCTCTCCTCTCCAGAATTCAGGAGACTTCGCAAACAAGCACCCCAGGCCCTTGATCCATTGCTTGGACTCCACTAGATGGAAATTCGCATGAAGAGGAGTTAGAAGGTTTTGGTTCCCCTACAACCAGTGGGTGTGAGATGAGTCATTGCCCAGTCCCCTGGGTAAGTCAATGATTTCACAAGGGATCTTTTCTAGGTATTTTCCTGACAGTCAGTCCCTTCCCAGACAGCATTTGGTTGGTTTCCCTGCCGCACCACTCAACAGTATGTAGGGGTCTCCTCTCAGGCAGGCTCCACACCAGACACCAGGGGTAGGTCTTTGTTCTTGGCGGCACAGTGAGGCAGACACATGAGTAGACCATACTCCTCAGTGTGACTTGTTTTTTGTTTTTGTTTTTGTTTTTGTTTTTGTTTTCTCCTTGAGACAGGGTCTCACTCTGTCACCCAGGTTAGAGTGCAATGGCATGCTCAGGGCTCACTGTAGCCTCAGCTTCCTAGGTTCAAGCGATCTTCCCACCTCAGCCTCCCTAGTAGCTGGGACTACAGGCATGTGCCACCATGCCAAGCTAATTTTTGCATTTTTTGTACAGGGTCTCACCATGTTGCCCAGGCTGGTTTCAAACTCCTAGGATTAAGTGATCCGCCTACCTCAGACTCTCAAAGTGCTGGGGTTACAGGTGTGGGCCACTGTGCCCGACTGACAGGTGTCTTTATCAAATCCTCAGATACTATGAGAGTGTGGGTAGGGTGGGAATCCAAAACAAGGATACATTCTTCAGGCAGACAAGGGAGGAGATGGTTTCCAGACAGGAGGAAGAGAATGTGTAAAGGCACAGAGGCTTCAGAAGTCTTGTATGTCTGGAGAACAGCAAGGGGTCAGCATGACCAGAACACAGGGATGGTATGGGAAGGGAGGGGTGAGGAGGGGAGACCAGCAGGGAGCAGGCCTGGCAGGACTTAGAGACTACACTCTGTCTGCAGAGCTCTGAGGAGCACAGTCAGGGAGTCATTGGAGCCCCACGGCCATGTCCAGGTTCAGGGAATCACAGTTTAGCCCCCAGCACCTTTTCTGGCACCTCTAGGGGCAGCAGAAGTGGTTCCAGCAGGGTGCAGCAGAGAGAATCAAGGAAACCCTAGAGCAGAAGGGGCACTAGCCCTGTGACAGACTGCTGGCTGACTATTCCAAAATCCAGTCTCTCCTTCTTTCTAACAGAACCTCAAGTTTCAGCTGAGCACTTGTTGCCTGGAATAAAGAGCTCTGTGTCTAAGCCTCCTTTCTAGCTGGGTGGGAGCATATGACTGAGTTTTAGTGAAAGAAGAGAAGTATCAAGATCATGTGGACCTTCTGGGAAGGCTGGGTGAAGGCAGCTCAATCACCTGTGTGGCCTGCCTTCTACAGCCCTTCTGTTTTTCCCCCTTTGACCAACCTGCAACTTGTATGTGATGGCTGGAGCTCCAGCCGACATGTGGAACCATGAGGAGGCATTGAGGGTGGAAGTCACATACCTATATGTCGGATCCTAATGACAGATCCCCAGTGAAGCACCCCCACACTAGAACTGACCTGAATTTCTCTGGACATATTTTCACATGAAAGAATAACAAGAAACTATTTTGTTTAATCTACTGTTATTTTGGCTTGTCTCTTACGTGTAACTGAACCTAAACTTAACTGATATGAACTTAAATCCCCTCATTTTCTGGAGGGAAAATTTGAGATCAGGGAAGCATGTTGACTGGATAAAGATTACTCAGAGAGTTTACCCAAAAGCTCTGTCTCTCCTAGCAAAACTTTCTGATGATTTTTGCTCATTTCCAATTCAACAAGGATTTCTTGAGCCTATGCATGCAGGGCCATGTAGTACAGTAGTGTAGAGCCTAAACCCCAAGGCCAGACTTCGTTTTTGTTTTGTTTTGTTTGAGACACAGTTCACTATGTTGTCCAGGCTGGTCTCAAACTCCTGGCCTCAAGTGACCTTCCACCTCAGGATCGCAAGGTGCTAGGATTACAGGTGTGAATCACTGCGCCCAGCCAAAACCAGATGTCTTGAATGCCAGTCTCAGGAATGCTACTCACTAAATGGGATACCATGAACAATTCCTTAACCTGCCTCTGCCTCAGTACCCTCATTGTAAAATAGGGATAAGAATAGCATCTACTTTTCAGGGTTCTTATGAGACTAAATAAGTTATAGGTAAGTAGATGTATGAATAAAGCACATAGGTTAGCTGCTATGGGCACAGGCTCTGGTTCAAAGCTTGACTCTGTCACCAGCTAGCTATGTGATCATGGGCAAGCTATTTAACCTCTTTGTGCTTCTATTTCCTCACAAGTAAAATGCAGATGATAGCAGTACTTACAAAGCTGTTTTGTGGATTAAAGCACTGAGAACAGTGCCTGGCATGCAGAAAGTGCCAGGAAGCCATGGCCATCATTGTTATTACCATGTGCTGATGAGCCCTGTACTGAGTGAAGAAGGGGCTCACGGTCAGGTTGTGAGGTGAATGGGAAAGGGACTGGAGAGACAAACAGGAGATACGGATTAACATCACTGAACAAAATCACTGCAGTAATTGCTTTCCAGGTGCTACCTCATTTGTTTTGCCAGTACTCCTGGCAGAGGATATTATTCTCCCCATTTTTTAGTGACGAAACTGAGCACCCAAAAGGTTGGGTGATGTGAACAAGGCCTCCCTGCTGGTAAGGGTCAGGGCAAGGGTTTGAATCCAGCTCTGTGCCACCCCTCAAAGGCCATGCAACACTCCACTTCTGAGGAAGAAACCTGTCATGCATCCTTCACCTAGCTTACCTCTGAGAATTTGTAGCTCAGAAAGGAACGGGTAATGTGGGCATTTTCTCTCCACTTGCCCTTGAATTTGTCAATACTCACTGTGTATTTATTTATTTATTTTTGAGACAGAGTCTCACTCTGTTACCTAGGTTGGAATGGAGTAGTACCATCTTGGCTCACTGCAACCTCCGCCTCTTGGGTTCAAGCAATTCTCCTGCCTCAGCCTCCCAAGTACCTGGCATTACAGGTGCACACCACCATGCCCGGCTAATTTTTGTATTTTTAGTAGAGGCGAGGTTTCACCGTTGGCCAGGCTAGTCTTGAACTCTTGACCTCAAGTGATCCACCGGCCTCAGCCTCCCAAAGTGCTGGGATTGCAGGCGTGAGCCACCGCCCCCGG